GTGTGTGTAGGGGGCGGGGAGAGGGAGAAGCAAATCAAATACACAATAGTAAAAGGTCATTTAGTCTTTGGCATCAAACAGGTCCCTGAGGAGGTTTCAGATTTCCAGGTGAGACCGGTGTGGTGGTGCGCACTTGTCATCTCAGCACTGGGGAGGCTGAGGCAGGAGGATTGCCAGCATTCAAGGCCAGCTTGGGATACATATGGAGATCCTGTCTCAAAAACAAACAAAACAAACAAACCAAACAAACCAAACAAACAAACAAAAACTCCCACCAAATTCCCAGGCTATATGTCTCCATAAATCTAACATTAGTGGCTTCAGTATTTGTAACAGAGTGGCTGAGGAGCTGCAGAGATGCAGTTTGGTTTGATGGACAGGTTAGGGAATACCTGATCCAGAAGCTATTTTGGCCAGCCACAGTGCACCGCCTTCACTGAGGGTTACGGGGTATTTTCTTCCTTCCAATGGCCAACTGATGATTTTCTTCTTACAAACCAAACAGCATAGGGGCCATGTATGGATATATATATATATATATATATATATATATATATATATATATATGTATATATATGAATAAGGTTTGATCAAAAACTGTAGCAAATGTTTATTTTTTAAAAATTTATTACAGGGCTAGGAGATAGTTCAGTGGCACTGTGCTTGCTTGGCAAGTGCAAGGTCCTGAGCTCAGTTTCTGGTACCAAAAACAAAGTATTACAGTGAAAGACAGATTACCACGAATCCCCTCTCACTTCAAACACACTTATCCCATCCTTCTGGCCACTTTCGAAAGAAGCTGTGATGTCCTCTTCATAAACGTCTTTAGGTGCACTGTCTTGGCTGCCTTGATGTCCTGACTTGATTCCAGATGTTTAACTTTCATGGTCATTTTGACACTGGGGAAGAGCCAGAAGTCATATGATGCCAGATCTGATGAATAAGGTGGATGAGGACAGCTGGGTGTGGTGGCACACGCCTGTAATCCCAGCACTCGGGAGGCTGAGGCAGGAGGATCATTGTGAGCTCGAGACCAGCCTGGGCTACAAAGTGAGCTCAAGGCCAGCCTGAA